CAGTATGTTCATTGTCACTTGCAAGAGGTAGCTAATAAAATTAATTTTACAACAATTGTATCTCCTCATCCTTTGGTTAATTCTGTCTTTAGTTAAATGGGAGGAATTATTGTTAGTAACCCACTGACTAATAATCCCATCTGCAATTATGGAGAGTATCAGTGATCTTCTGAGTGAAGGTTCTCTGAACTTAATGATTCTTCATATACTTAATTCACATAAAAAAATCATTTGTCAGGACTTGGTAATACACAGCTTGGTTCGGTAGTGATCTTGCTGGTGTTTGATTTCAGTTCATCATTGTTGATGTATGACAAAGTTGAAGGAGACCACTGATGCACATGGTGTGTTGAGTCATTCTGAATATGTATCCAGGTAGTCCAACTCCAGTATTTATATGGATGGCCAGAGTCTAAATTGTGATCCTGTGGGGTCGTGTGCAATAACAGTCAAGATCGGTGAGTGGCGAAAGTAGCCTCTTTATTGAGCATCTGCAGTAACACAATTTGAGGCAGTGATGGAATCCAAAGTACAGTTTTATAGCAGCATCTGTTATACAGTTTTTACATACATTAAAATTTTAGTATTAGAATGTCACATAGTTGTATCTATTGGACACAAATTTGCATGACATCTGCCCTGGGAAGCAGGAGATTGTTTAAGCACTTGCTAAATGTTACTCCTGTTGGGATTCGAATGTCTGTCCGGTCTGAGCTTGCATAAGAGGTGTTAGTCCTTTTGTCTTTAAAGTTAGAAATGTTAGTAAAAATACTAGACCTACATGATCTAAATAAGTGAGAAATTGTGTATGTACTAAATAAAAGAATCGAGGATATTAAACTGATCTCCTGCAGCTGGAGCATGAGATTTCATTCACTATTGCCGGTTTTGACATTTCTTACACATTCATTCACGCAGTTTCACGGAAGTGCTGTTTTGATAGTAAGTTTCTTAAAGGGGTAGCGGCTCTATTTAATATGTATTTTAAAAAGCACATATTAGTGGAAGACACTGATGTTCTGCAACCTATTCAGGTCCTGCGAGATGGTTGCTAAGGGCTAATTAATATTATAATCTTTCCATAGTTTTGAGTGAGTTATGGAGACACGATGGCGGGGATGGCATTGTTCTGAGTAGGTTGCGGTATTAACACTTATTCAGGAGTAGCCTTTGATACAGCAACAGGTCTAAGTGCTGTTTGCAGCATGGGCTCAATAAGAATTGAAAGGTGTGAAGAAGCAGTAATGGGTTGGAAGGGATGTTTAATTTAATTTAATGTGGTTTTATGAATGAGTGAATGGAAATGCCATATGGTAAACATAGAGCGGTTGTGAGTGAGTTGGTAAAGAGAATCATAATACAATATCTCACAATCCCAACTCAACATTCTTTTTTCTTATGGCAATATGTGAAGAAAACAGCAGCATCAATCAAAAACCAGAAAAAAACTGGTAATCAAACTTGATAGATTTATATAGAGCACTGTGCCACAAAATTCAGTACTTCAGAACTTGACTTATCTTACTGTGCACTGGAATACTGTGCACTTACTTGGCAAAAGTCATCACATTTGCTCAACCCCTCATCTTTGGCTTTCTTTCCTCCCAAATATCTTTCCTCCATTCATCGCTAATGGATGAAACCCACAAGCTGGTTGAAGCCATCTTTTCTGCACCTTATTTACTACTTCATGTTAACCTGTTCAACCAAAGTACGGGCCACTTTCCACCTCGGCACTCTGTATGGAGTAACTTTGTCAAGAAAGATCTACCAGCAAATATTCTTAGGACCAGGTAATGGGAAGCACAGGCTCAGAAATTGCTTGTGATGAGCCCAATCTGTCAATTTGCAAGCTTTGAATTACCTTGATTAGATTGGTCTTTGCTAAACTGTTGCAGGACAAATCGTGGCATCTGAGTAACCAATCTGCAATGCTGCCACCTTTGAAGAAACATTATAAATACTTGTGGAGAGACACAACAGTGCTGCACATTACTGAGGAGTGTCCTCTCCACAGACTAAGTGGCAGACAAATTACCTTAACAGTGGAAAATTTTTCCCATAATTTCCATTGACTGCAGTTTAGCTACCTGTCCTTGGCGGCGCACTCAGTCAAATGCAGCCTTGATGTCAAGAGCAGTGACTCTCACCTCACTTCTGTATTTCGGCTTTGTTCATGTTTGAACCAAGGCTCTAATGAAGTTAGGAGCTGAATGGAGTGGTGCAACCCAAACTGAATGTAAGTGATCAGGTTATTGCAGAGCAAATGCTGCTTGATGGCACTGTTGCTGTCCCCTTTCATGACTTTACTGATAAAGATTTTTTTATTGAAATCAAATGCCACTATTTGTTGTGGTGGAATTTGAACCGGAGAGTCACAATATTAACTGAGACTCCGAAAATATTATCTGGGTCTTTAGAATATGTGTAGTTTTTTTAACTGGATAACATCTGTATCACTGGGCCATGACCTCCCTTGAGATAAAATAAATAATAATCAGAAACTGCTGGGAAAACTCTTGGACAGAAAGCAGACATAATATTTTAGGTCCATCCCCCTCCTTCAGAAGGGAGAAGTTGACTCTGCTTTCCTGTCTTGGATGCTCCCAGACCTGCTGAGTTTTTTTCAACAATTTCTGTTTTTGTTTCTGATTTCCAGCATGTGCAGTTCTTTTTTTAAAAAATTAAGTAATAATTTGCAAGAGCACTTTGTCTGGGTGAGAAGTTGTTAGTTGTAGCCTTTACCGGGAGATGAATGGATATCTAGGCTGGTCAATCTTAAAAACCCCATGGTGTGTCACAGAGAGGAGCTGTGAATTCTCCCAGAGTCAAGGCTAATATTCATCCTTCAATTTAACACCACCAAAAAACAGTTAACTGAAATTTTTCCTGCTGCCTGTGGGAACTTCTGCACAAATTGGACTTGAAGTTTTTGAGAAATGTTTGTCTTCTGGATGGCCAGTCATGAGTTACTAGCTCTGTTCAAAATTTATCCTACTAAGAACAGCAATAGTGCTACACAACATGATGGGCAGTTGTCTCAATATGAAGATGGGACTTCGCAAGGATTGTGCAGTCAGCGCTCGTACTGATACTGTCATGGGCAGATGTAACTACCAAGCTTTCTCTGAGTGCTGCTCAACATAGATGAGTACAGCTTCATCACCTGGGTGGTGTATGTTGTCATTAGCAGGAGAGCAGGAGATTTCCTTACCCGTGATGCCATGAGACTTTCATGGAGTTCAGAGTCAATGTTGAGGATCTCGAAGGCAACTCCATCTTGATTGTGTATCTCCATGTCGCCAGCTCTGCTGGGTCTGTTCTGGTGGCGGGACATGAAATACCCAGGGATGGTGTTTTGTTGTCTGGAAATTTGTGTGCAAGATATGATTCTGAAAATATGGTGATGTTAGGCTGTTGCTTGATTCATGTTGTGAGAGCAATACATTCTCCACTTTACTATTACTGTCAAGTGATGGATCAATGTTGGTTCAATGAAGAGTGCAGGACAGCATGCCAGGAGCAGCACCAGTCATGCCTAAAAATGAGGTGTCAACCTGGTGAAGCTATAACATAGGACAACTTGCATCCTAAACAGCATAAGCAACAAGTGATAGAGCCAAGAAATTCCACAACCAATGGATCAGATCTAAGCTCTGCAGTTTTTCCAAATCCGTACTGATTGTGTCAGGCTATTGCTTGATTTGTCTGTGAGACTGTTCTCCCAATTTTGACACTCGTTCCTAGATGTCAGTTAAGGACAACTTTGTAGGGTTCAACAGGATTTTGTTCTTCATTGTTCCGGTGCCTTAATTGATGCCAGGTGGTCCATTTATTTTCATTTCCTATTTCCTTTCTGGCAGTTCATTAAAATTGAATGGTTTGCCAGGCATTTCAGAAGGCAATTAAGAATCAACATCATTGTTATGGGTCTGGAATCTCATATAAGTCAGACCAGGTAAGGACAGCAGTTTCCTTCCCTAAAGGACATTAGTGAACCAGTTGAGTTTTTCTGACAATTGACAGTGATTTCATGGTAATCTTTTTAATTCCAATTAAAAATTCAACTTTTGTTGAATTCAAATTCCACCATTTGCCATGGCGGGATTTGAACCTGAGTCATCGGGTTACTAGTCCAGCGACAATACTACGAAACCATTTCTTCCCCCATAAGGAGTAAGATTGGTCATTGATAGAGATGGTGGAGGTCATAGTGGTAGATATGAATGGCAGTTGCTCTCTAACCAATTTGATAAATACCTATTATGTAATGTGCAGATGGAGTCTGAATATCAAATCACTATACTTGTGACATTAGTAGTAACAAAACTCCCTTTATGTCATTTCATGTACACTGCAGTTATGATGTTATTTCTATTACCTGCATTCATTCTGCACAAATACAGTAACTGTGATTATCAATAGATTGCAAAATTAAGCAATAGTTTGTACCAAATAATTTTGGGTAATTAATGTGTTAACAGCATCAACTGTATTAACTCTTTTGTAAGTCACTTATATGATACAGTTAAGTGCTTTAAAATTCATTCCTCTTAAGCTTTGTCTTTTTTTTCATTTTTTATTTTCTCCCTTTCTTCAACTGGAGAAATGAGAAGGCTAACATGCTCCAAAACTTATCTATCAATGTTAAACTTGAAAATCTGCTGGTATTCAGTAGTAAGGTGGATTTGTTCTATTTCTCTTAACTGCCATTCACATTGTGCAGCATTCCCAGAACTACCCATTACATCTCCTCTCCTCCCATTCCTACCATTCCAAGGTTGCCCTGCTGATGTAGCTTGGTGCGTTGGTTTTATGCCTAACAGTATCTTCCCGTAGAATGGTGCAGCATCTTAGCTGTCCTGGGTAGTCCTTTGTAGTGCATGACTATAATGAAATGATGGGTTATAATATGAAATTGAAATGATTAAAGTTTTATAGGGTAAACTGTACATTTAAAAGTTGAGGCTCAACTGTTCCTTTTGCCTCCTCCTCTTCAGGTGCATCAGTGCTCGACCAGTAGAGGTAGGAATGGATGTCACTAGTCGATGTACACTTGGTGACCCCAACAAACTGCCGGAGGGAGTACCACAACCAGCCAGGATGCCATTTGTATCAGATAAACACCCTCGGCAGACTTTAGAAGTGATCAACCTCCTGAGGAAGCACCGGGAACTCTGTGATGTGGTGCTGGTTGTGGGCGCAAAAAAGATTTATGCACATCGAGTGATCCTATCAGCTTGCAGCCCCTACTTTCGAGCCATGTTCACAGGTGAGCTCGCAGAAAGCCGGCAGACAGAGGTGGTGATCCGTGATATCGACGAACGTGCCATGGAGTTGCTGATTGACTTTGCTTACACATCTCAGATAACGGTAGAGGAGGGGAACGTGCAGACCTTGCTGCCGGCTGCCTGCCTGTTGCAGCTGGCCGAGATCCAGGAAGCATGCTGTGAGTTTCTGAAGAGGCAACTTGATCCATCCAACTGCTTGGGAATCAGAGCTTTTGCTGATACCCACTCCTGCAGAGAACTGCTGCGGATTGCTGACAAATTCACTCAACACAACTTTCAAGAGGTGAGAGATAATAAAAAGAAACAAAGACTTGTGATGCCAGTGTAATTAAACTTAAGCAATTTGTGCAGTGACCTTCAGAGGCTGTAGGGGTTATATTGATCCAGATTCAACAATCGCTTATTCATGATGCAACAAATGTAGATGTTATGTATTTAATGTTAGAATATTGAACTTGGCCAGTTTGTTGTTTTGGAGACTAAATTATTTTCAGAAAAGAAAATTATGTTATTCCTTGGAAATTACTTGAATGTTACAGAAATAACATGAGTTTTACATTGTGCTTATTGATTTATTCAACAATCTGTATTGGTAGTGAAAGTATTGGGGAGGCAGTGGCTTTGTTGGAATTCAGTGGAGATGTAGGTTCAGAACTCAAATTGCAAATGGTGGAATTTAAACAAGATGAATAAATTTGGAATTAAGAATTGGCAATGGTGACCATGAAACTTTATTGGTTGTTGTAAAAATTCATCTGATTTATTAACATCTTTTTAGGGAAGGAAACCTGCTGCCCTTACCTGGTGTACCATAAGTGAGTATAGATCCACAGAAATGTGGTTGCCTCTTAACTGCCCGATGAAATAGCTAGCAAGACCTTCTGTTCTATCAGACTTGCACCAAATGGTTAATAAGGAATGAAAATGGATGTCAACGGTAAATCTAGCCCTGCTGATCCTGCAGTGACCTTCGGACTAACATTTAGGAAGGATGTTATTAAATTGGAGAGGGTTCAGAAAAGGTTTACCAGGAATTTGCTGGGACTGGTGGGTTTGAGTTCTCAAAATAGGCTGGATGGGATGGGAGCACAGGAGGTGAGGGGTGACCTTCATAGAGGTTTATGAAATCATGAAGGGCAGAGATAAGGTGAATAGCAAAGGTCTTTTCCCTAGGGTAGGGGAGTTCAGAACTAGGGGACATCATTTAAAGGTGAGAGGAGAAAGTTTAAAAAGGACATGAGGGGCAACGTTTTTACACAGAGAATGGTTCGTGCGTGGACTGAATTGCCTGAGGAAGTGATGAATGCAAGCACAGTTACAACATTTAAAAGACATTTAAATAGGTACATGAATAGGAAAGGTTTAGAGGGACTAGTTTAGTTTGAGAATGTGGTCAGCGTGGACCAGTCTGTTTCTACGCTGAATGACTCTTCTGACTCTGTGACTCTATTTGGGGGATTGTGCCAAAACTGGAGGACCTGACACATCAAGCAACAGACCAGTTGCTCTGGGAGTGCTCAACATTTATTCAGGAACCCGTGAAACCTCATGGCATCAGGTCAGACATGCAAAGGAAACATCCTGCTGATCATCACCTTTCGCATAGCCTCAGCTGATGGTTCAGTTCTCATTTGTGTGCAAGGTGGAAGAAGCATGGAAGCTGACAAGGGTTTAGAATGTACTCTAGATGCGAGACTTCAATGCCGTATCACCAAGGCTGGCTCATCGACTGAGCTGGCCAAGTCCTAAGACACAGCACTGGGTCTGTGGCGGGTGGTGAGGTAACCAACAAGAAGGAAAAGCCTACTTGATCTCATCTTCACCAACCTGTCTGTTGCATAAGCGTCTATCCATGATTGTGTTGGTAAGAGTCACTGTCAAGTGGTCCTTTTGGAGACAAAATATTTGCAGTCATCTTTGACCAAAAACACCAAATGGATGATCTATATTGGCCTCATCTTGAGGTCCCCAGCTCAACAGATATCAGCCTTCAGCCAATTGAATTCATTTTACGTTGATATCACCAATTGCTGAAGGGACAGGATATGACAAAGACTGTGGGCTTGATAACATTCTGGCAATAGTCTGCTCCATGTAAATTCACCCCAATTCCTGTCGATTTATGCTGTCATATTCATCTACTCTGAATCATTAACAGTGTGATGGAAGGTGTCGTAGATGGTCCTATGAAGCAGTACTTACTCATCAATAGCCTGCTCAATGGTACTCAGTTCAGGTTCTGCTTGAGCTACTTAACTCCTGACCTCTTTACAGACTTGATCCAAAAATAGACAAAAGACAGCTGAATTTCAGAGGCATGGTGAGATTGACTGCTCTTAATCTCAAAGTAGCAATTGTCTGAGTGTGGTAGGTATCAAGGAGCAACAGCAAAACTGGAATTGATGGGAATCAGAATATTCTCCATTGGTTTGAGTTCTGCTGAGCACAGAACTTCCTTGGGGTAATGTTCCAGGCTCAACCATCTTCCATTGCTACCTCAATGACCTTCCTTCCATCATGATCACTTTAAAAACATCATTTGTAATGTGGGCTTACTGGTTGTGCCAACATTTACTTGCCATCCCTAGCTGCCCTCAAGAAGGTGTACTGAGCTGACTTCTTGAACTTCAAGTTAGAATGATGAGTGGTGTAGAGGGGAATTTGCATCTGGTGGTTCCATCTATTTGCTGCCCTTGACCTTCTAAGTAATAGTGATCATGGATTTGGATGATGTTGTGTACGGAATTTTGTTGAATTTTCTGCTGTGCATCCCATCGATTGTGTACGCTGTTTCCACTATTTGTTGACGTTTCAGTGGAATGTGGATATGGTCTCAGTCAAGTGGGCTGCTTTATCCTGCTTGCTGTCAAGCAACTTGAGTGTTGTTGGAACTGCATCCATCCAGGCAAGTGGGAAGCATTCCATCATTCTCCTGACTTGTGCCATATAGATAGTGGACAGACTTTGCAGTACTAGGAGATGCGTTACTCTCTACACGACCCCTAGTTTCTTACATGTTGTTGTCGCCACCATATTTATGTGGGTCTTCAAGTTTAGGTTCTGATCATGGGGTAACAACCCTTAGTACTATTTGCACCTGGAGATACTGAAGGAGTGCATGTCCATTTGCAGCAAGACCTGGACACACTAAAAAATGCTGTGAAGGAGGGAGCAATAAAAAAGAAGCATGTTATCTAAATGGTGAGAGGATGCAGGACTCTGAGATGCAGAGAGATACAGGTATCCCAGTGTATGAGATGCAGGAGGTTAGTATGCTACAGCGAGTAAACTGGAAAGTTGATAGAATGTTGTGGTTTATTGCAAAGGGAATTGAATCAAGAGTAGAGAGGTAACGCCTCAGTTATTACAAGGCATTGGTGTGACCCCATCTTGAGTATTGTGTATGTAATGGTCACTGTACTAATGGAAGGATGTTAATAGATTGGAAGCGGTTCAGAGAAGGTTTTCTTGACTGATACTAGGAATGAGAGGATTGCTGTAGTTTACGTTATGAGGAAATGTAAGACAGTATCCTCTGGAGTTTAGAAGAGTCAGAGGTCGCTTAATTGAAGCGTGTAAGATCCTGAGGGAATTTGACCAGGTGGGTGTTGAAAGGATGTTTCCTTTCATAGGAGAATGGAGAACGAGAGGTCGTAGTTTAAAATTGAGTGAGTGTCCATTTAAAAGAGAGATAAGGAAACTATTTTCTTTGAGGTTTGAATGTCTTTGGAATTCCCTTCCTCTAAAAGGCAATGGATGCAAAATTTTAAAATATTTTCAAGGCAGAGCTGGATAAATCCTTGATTACTGTGGGCATGAATGATTACCGGAGATATGGAAGAATATAGAGTTGAAGTTAAAATCAGATCAGCTATGATCTTACTGAATGACAGCAGGCTCAAAGGGACTAAGTGAACTAATCTTGTTCTTTGCCACACAAACATATGAACGAAGAACAATGTTCAAGCTTGAGTTGATAAGTGGCAAGTAACATTTATACCACACAAGTGCCAAGTAATGACCATCTCCAACAAGAGACAATCTAACCATGTTCCCTTGACATCCGATGGCATTACCTTTGCTGAGTCTGCCAATACCAACACACTGGGATTACCATTAATCAGACAGTGTACTACATTTAAATACAATGGCTACAAAAGCAGATTAGAGGCTGGGATATCTGTGGTAAGTCACATCTTGACTCTTCAAAGCCTGTCCACTCCCAAGAAAGCTCAAGTCAGGAATGAGTGCAACTCAACAACACAAAAAGCTCCACACTGTCCATTAGCCCAATTGATTGACATCCCATGCACCTGCCACCTTGAAATTCACTCCTTTCACCATGTTGGAAAGTGGCAGTATTGAGTACTATCTACTAGATACACTGCAGTAACTCAATAATGCTCCCTCGACAGCACTTTCCAAAATTGTTTATCACCTAGGAGTACAAAAACAGATATACGAGAACACCGCCACCTGTAGGGTCTCCTCCAGGCCACCTGCCATCCCTTACTGTTGCTGGGTCAAAATCATAGAAATCTGTTCTTGACAATGGTATTTGTGTATGCCTATAATCTGTGAAAGACTTTTTAAAAAGAGCAGTCAACTTGTTCCTGATCAATTTCTTTCAAGGGAAGAATCTGTTTTCTTCATTAGTGCTGCTAAAAAGGGCAAGTAATTTACTTGCAAACCTTAATGAATGGTTCTGTCAGGTTTCTGTTGAATGCTACTCCACCATCCAATTTTTGCTGACTGGGAACGCAGAAGTGGGAAGATCTAGTTGTAACTCTTGTTTTTTTGTGATGCTGCGTGCTGGTGCCCCAAACTGCCATTGTTTTCTTCATGCATGTTTCCATGATACACTTTTAATGACATGACTGTGAGGGTATAGATTTGTGTCCTTGATTTCCTCTTGAATTTCTAGTCTTGGATGCTTTTTTGTCATTTTAAGTCAGTTATGAGTAAAGTCATGTGATTTTCTGAATCGGGAAAGGAAATTGAAGTTTATGACCCTCTCTGGCTTCAAATAGTTAAGAAAGAATGTCGAACATTAAAATATGGCGTGTAATCTGGCTTTCTTGATTTGAATAATGTCAGTGAAATCTGAGAGACTGAGATGGAGACAGGTTCAAGGGAGCATGTGATTGAAATCATTCAAATCCAATGAACACGTTATCGGATGCAAGGCATAGAAATTGCAAGGCACCATATGAACCTGAGTAATTTCTCTTTCAGTGCTGTTGATTTAATTTGGGGAAAGTGGTCAAACCTGTTGAGCTTGCA